CTCTTCCTCAGCAGATGTTTCTCCCAATGCATATTCTGTCCTCCCTGATGACTTGAGTGACAAAACAAGTACTGTTCTTTATTCCTATTAGATCTGCTGAGCTAAAATAGATACAGAAAAGTGAGCTGGATCCTGTTGCTTCTTGTACATCAGTATTCAAAGTACTTGCTTTAGGCTTCCCTTTGCTCTCCTTGAGGGAGGCCTGAGTAAAATTCCTGCTTCTGTAATACATGCAGAGCAGGAAAGGTAGCTCCATAGTCAAGAAGGGATGGGGACAAATTTTACTCCAGCTGGGTACCGTGGACTCCTTACACTCCTCATACAGAGGGGCAAGTTTATATGGAGTAATGTTCCCAGAGGGGACAAAGCATACTAGTTCCCTCTCTGCTTTCAGAAGTCCCTTTGTGCTCTCCCTCACAAACTCGAACTTGGAACATTTTGTGATGTCACGGAAAAATGGGTGTATTGCTTAACTTCCATGAAAATCAGATGTCAGAGCATAATATGTGCAGTTGAAAGTGCAGTCCAGTGTCACTTCTACAAATAAAAATAAAAAACCTGATGTTAAGTACCAGGTCTGAACCAAACTTTCTTTAGAATCTAAAGGATTATGCCATGCTTTTCCATTTCCATTTTCCAGATTGGAATAGGAAGTGATGAAACACTGTGAGACATCCTTCTCTTCTATGATTCCTAGTAGGGATGGAAACAGAAATCCCAGACATGTTTATTCTCAGAAGACTGTCAGCTGGATTTTGAGGAACAAATCAGGAACTTTACATTCAGAATGGCTTTAACTTGCAAGGGAATCTCCAGGGGACATCTGAATATGGGGTTTTGTGTAGGCCTATTATCAAAAGAAGCACCATTAACAACATTTAGAGCTAGACAGGATTCTGCTTTCAAACACTTCCAAAGTAGGTAGAGCCATAGGCTCTTTTTTGGATAAGCTGGTTCAGGTCCAAATCTGACCTCAAGACAAACTAAATCTTCCCTTCATTACTACACTTTAGCAAAGTGAGGAGGTGGAACTTCGGCCATTTTACATGTGTTCCCGATGTGGTGCTGGGCACTTCTAATTAATGAGTTGTGCTAATTAAAAGCACCCATGCGTCACATGTATCAGTGGTGCAGCACGCCTCTGAGAAAAATGGCAGCAGTGCGCTTTGAAAAAAGGATGCT